TCTCCAAAATATTTAACTATATTTAGAATAAAGTTAAATATGGAGATGATCGTATTCACAAAATTCACAAAAATTAAATTTATTCAAACCCATTAATAAAGTCTTTTCTTTAAGCTAAGCATGAAAGATCATGCTTGAGTTGTAGGACTTTGTTATTCTAGAAATGAGATTTGATTTGGATTTGGTATTTGGATATTGGAACATTGTTACAAAAACTATTGTATTGTTTCGATATATTGGGATATTGTCTTCACATTAATACTTGTTGTGTTCTATATTAACATGTTTAATAAATGAATAATCTAATAATTCTAAAGGTTGATAGTGTTGGATTGAAGTGACTAAGCCATTAACTAAATTTGTATATTCTTGTAATTATAAACAAAATCAATCTTGGGTTGCCGTCATAACTACAACATGGTTAGAATGACATTTGTAAAGAGATGATAATTTAGTAGATTAACTAATTGGAAATTATGAGGAAATAATTTGTTAATATATTATATAATTAATATATTAATAGGAAATAGAAAATTGATTTGTTAATGTATATGATTAATAAATTAATATGAAATCAACTAGAAATAACTAATTATTAATCAGAAATAATCTAGAATTAATTTGGGATTAATTGGAATTTTGATTTATAATTGTTCATAATTGTGCAAGGGATGAATATTCTATTGAATAAGGTCTCTAAGTTAGTAACTAAATTGATATATTCTTGAAATTAAAAGAAAAGTTGGGGTCATAGTAGGTTTAGTTGTTCAATGTATGTTGCTATCAATGTGTATGTCATAGATCTTTTATAGGATGCATGTACTCTATCAAATGTTAATTATTTCCCGCATTGTATAATTTTTGTATCCTACAAAACCCATTAGATTCTAGAACCCATATAGGTGGTGAACGAAATTAGGAAGGATTTTAGGGTTTCTAGAAGTCTACTGGTAGTAAATAAGGAAAAAATTTGAATTGAGATTAAATTTATTATTTAATTATTAAAATCTTTCTTTGTCCCTAAGTTATCTAAACTATAAATAGGAACCCTTGGGACCTCAATTTTGTTCATACTCTTCCAAGGAGGATATTTTGGCTGAAATTCTCCTCTCTCCTCTCTCCTCTTGACTTATAATTCTAGGGTTTGGTGTGAGCCATTAGACGCATGATCATTTTGATGCTAATCTTTCCAAGACCTACAATACAAGATGATTGAAGTGATTTGTTTGGTACAACAAATCAAGAGGTATGTAACCCTACACTTGGTAATTTCGAATTACACTAACTAGGGTTATACTAGGTTTAGTTGTTCATTGTATGTTAAACCGATACCACTCTCAAGCTCACCTAAAATAAATCACATAAGAATTGAATTAGTCGAACAGTTAGCATAAACAACTGAAAATAAACCACATAAAGCATACATTCAACCAATGATGCGATAACTTTATCTGCTTGTTTTTTCTTAAGTTATCCCATCGTTTGTTAGAATATCCAATAATATTTAACAAAAAAGAAACCACATCAAAGAAATCATTAACCGTTGTTTTATTCTTTGCAACAAACACTAGAGCTAACTATAATTGGTGAGCACAAAAATGAACAAAGTGTGTTGATTTTGTTACATTCATAATCAAAGTCTTCAATCCATTGAATGCACTACTCATGTTACTAGCTCCATCATACCCTTGTCCTCTAATTCTATTAGGACTCAAATTTGATTTTGAAAGCATATCGTAAATGGTAGCATTTAGTGACAAAGCTAAAGTGTCATTAACATTTCTAAGGCCAACAAACTTTTCTACAACTTCAAATTTTCTGTTAACAAAACGCAAAACAAATGCTATTTGTTCTTTACATGACACATCATGTGACTCGTCTATTAAAATTGCAAAAAAAATGATCTCCATGATCTCCCGTAATAACATTAAAAATTACATATGAAGATGCTTGCACAATATCTTTCTGGATTTCACCGCATTTCATGTGAGTATTTTTTAAGTCATTCTTTAACACAACACGATCTACAACATCACATCGATAAGCTAACTACTATAATTGTTCAAGAAAGTTACATTTATTATTCGAGTCTTCCTTCTCATTATGACCACAAAATGTTAACCCTTTTCAGAGTAGGAACCTAACATAATCAATTAAAGCATTCAAGCGAGTATGGTATTCTTTTTCTTTTAAAGTAGTTTGTTTCCCAAAAGCAGACCTGATGGATTGTATTTGGTTCATCAAACTTAATTTGAAACTTTTGGACAACAATAGTGTGTGGAGTTCCTTCTTTGTGTTTATCTATTCCTGATTTCCTATTCCAAGATTTGAATCCAGATTTCACAAAATGATCTTATCTACCTTGATTTGGTATACTTGATTTGAATCAATAACAACATAAATAGAATGCATCATCCTCTTTTATACTATATTCTAACAAATATTTATTATCATCAAACCAAGATTGAATAAATCTTTGCGGTTTACCTCCAATATTATGTGGTTGCAAGTTATGATTTAGAGGTTGGAAAGACTTTTTTTGCAAGTATGCTCTTCTAATTTCATCTTTTTGGTTTACATGATAAAATTGTATAATTAGTCGTTCAAAAGAATCAACAGGTATTGACTTCAAATGAATCAACAAATATTGAGTTTAAATAAGGGATAAAAGGGTAACGAACTTTCGATTTTTGTCACATTTAGTCACTAAACTTTTTTTCGTTATCTATTTGCCATTAAACTATTGAAACTGTTCACATTAAAATGTGAACAGTTTCAATAATTCAATGGCAAATAGATAACGAAAAAAAGTTTAGTGACTAAATATGAACAAAATCGAAAGTTTGTTTCCCTCTAAAAAGTTCAATGACTAAATGTGAACAAACTTCCTCTTGTGTTATGTTTTACCAAATTATTTATTTTTGTTAAACTGTAGCAACATTTGTTGATGAAGAAATGTATGAAATAAAAAAAAAATAAAAAAACAAAACCCTGAAAATATATTTAAAAAAAAACAAAAAACCAAAACCGAAATAAAAAACCAATGGTTTGACATTTTCCAAAATAAAAAATCAAAATTTCCAATCTGATTTTGGTTTTACAAAAAAATGAACCATTCTCACTGATGTGAATTATGACCATTGGTTTGGCATGCGAAATTTGTGACATCCCATGAATATGTAGTTACAACATCGTCTGAACTCGTAATTCATAGTAAGGGGTTAGAGTATCATCGTATGAATACGTAGTTACAACATCGCCTGAAATCGTAATTCATCACCTACAGGTTATGGGCCTGCTGGTGTTTCCATTGGGTTGTCTAGAATAGTCCGTGGTCGTCATCTATACTCTGGTAGATTACTACATCTCCACATTGTTGGTTAAGGTTATGGTATCTCCTTTCATCCTACATCACACATTCATCATCATCTATTTACCTAATTATCATCACCTTTCTATCATCACCTATCTCTCATCATTTTATTTCATCACATTGCTGGTTAAGGTTATGCTTCCTAACTTCGAACCCCAAGGTTTACTCTACTAAAGCTTCATATTCTCGGCTCTTTGGACCTAGAAGGGTCCAGATCTATCACACCAAAAAGCTCAAGATAGCTATTCCTCTCACTCTACACACTCAAGCTCGCTAGGGTTCTCACTTATGGGAAAGGTAGTCGCAATTGAAGGCCATAAGTGCCTTTAAATATGGCTCGGGCCCAAAGATTTAAGGTTTCTGCCAACAACGCGGACTCATCGAGTCGCCTCACCGACTCGTCGAATCCATTCATTAATCTGAGTCATCAGTCGCGACCTTACTCGACGAGTTGAGGCGTCAACTCGTCGAGTCTCTCTTCTTAACTCAAAAGAAAAATACTTAAATTATGATATCTGGAAATCCGGATGTTACATTTTGTTTTTTTATTTCATAGATTTCTTCATCAACAAATGTTGCTACAATTAAACAAAAATAAATAATTTTGCTAAAACATAATACAATAGGAAGTTTGTTCACATTTAGTCATTGAACTTTTTAGAGGGAAATGAACTTTCAATTTTGTTCACATTTAGTCACTAAACTTTTTTTCGTTATCTATTTGCCACTAAACTATTGAAACTGTTCACATTTTACCCTTATAACCGGTAACAACAAGTTATAAGGGTAAAATGTGAACAATTTCAATAGTTCAATGACAAATAGATAACGAAAAAAAGTTTAGTGACTAAATGTGATAAAAGTCAAAAGTTCGTTACCCTTTCAAGTCATTATCCCTCATAGGCGGATCCAAGGGGTATCCCGGGATACCCCTCAAAAAAATTTCGGTAATGTAATTTTTTTAGAAAATTTTCGTTTTTTTAGTGTATATATATGCATCCCTTCACTTATAAACACAAACATATAGCTAGTCTACTGGTTAAGGTGTTGGGTTATTGAAACAAAGGTCTTAAGATCAATTCTTGTTCCCTACAAATCCTTTGTTTATATTTCTTTTATTTTTCCAGCTATTCTATTCTCTTTTAATTTCTAAGCTATTCTATCCCACATCGCAAAACACATGTAAACTCAGTTGTTTTCATCTATTATAAAAACTTATCATCATGATTCATTTTATATCAACTTTGAGTCCCACATTGATTCAAGTATCAAAAAATACTTCAACTTTATGTTTATATAACAAGACTTAAAGTTAGCTAACGATTCTATTAAGGTTTGAGTTTAATACCAAAACCAAACGAGGAAACTCATGTACAAGCTGAAAACCATAACATCGAATTGATGGGTTTGAGTTTGGTTTGGTTTTAAAAGTTTCAAAACCGTGGCTATCAGATTTAGGTTTGATTTTAGGTCAAAACTGATCCGACCCGCCCCATGCTCAGCCGTTGCGGTGATACCCGGAAAAAAAAATTAGGATACCCATTTGCTTTGAGTCTGGCTCCGCCACTGTTATCCCTTTAAATAAAGGCGTTCGTTTTCTAACGCTGTCTATCAAAAACCATTTGTACTCCTTCAATTCCAATGATGCTAATTATAAATTTATGAAGATTACTTAGAAAAATATCCAACATCCAAACAAGTACCTAGCTTGCTAGTTGCTACCCTCGATAATAAAAAAAAAACAATTAATGTTTGCATTATATATGGCTCCCATGATCGATTAATTCACAGCAAATTAGAAGGAATATGATCTGTTGAAGACCTTCTTCCACGCGGCTTTCCAGTTTATGGAGAAAGATGTATGTCCCTTGATGATACTAAGAGGAGAAGGTGGTGCTGTGTGTGATTGGATTTGGAGCCCAGCGCCATTAATGCCATCCTGCTGCTGCTTCCAGAATCGAGCTCCTTTTCTCTTGGCTCTAATGGTGGATAGCACATCCTTCTTGTTGCAAATGCCCCATACAGTCACCTTTTGCTGATCATAATCCACATTTACCGAGTAAATACCTGTAGGCATATCGATCAATTATTACTTCAAAATTAAACAATAAAAACGTGCATGCATGACCACGTATTTGGCTCATTACATTTGCATGCGTTTAATAGTAATATCGATTGGTAGCTAACCCAATATCACCTACCTTTGAAATGAGCCAAGGCTTTCTTGATCTTTTTGCCGCATCCATAAGAATAAAGCGGCACCATGATCTCTACAAATTGCGCCTCCACATCCTTAACCATCATCGGGACTATTTGAAGCTCCTCTTGCATCTCCATCTCCATTGTCCCCAGTTTAATTTCTTTGCTCAAGACTTTACTACTTATGTGTGTGTTTTTACACTCACTATATATGTATATATATATTATAACATGCATCATGAGATGCAGATCCAACATGTGTATCAGAAATTAAAGAACAAATAGAATAATCTTTTTCACTTTTGGTGGGTGGATGAGTAGGATGAGTGTGTGGATATGTCATCTGTTAACCTTTTGATGTGTGCATTGTATTGGACATTTAGGCTGATTGCTAATCCATGCGAAATTGCAAATGCTCCCCATGTGATGTTACTATTTACATATCTAATTCTAACGCAAACCTTTTAGGCTTTAGTTAACCTAGCTAAACATCATAGCTACTAACCTTAATGAATTAAATGAGAATGCAATTTCAACCAAAAAAATTAGATTTTATGTATCTTATCAAATGTACACCTAGTAAATAATGTAGGGCAACTCCAGTTGAATCCAACTAAATACCTCATTAGTGAATCAACTAGCATATTAGGTGAACCAATTGCTCAATGTCTATGAACCAATTACTAAAAAAAACAACGCAAATGGCATACTCCAACTCTCCAACAACAAATTAGAAAAAAAAAAAAAACAGTTTTTCTGCCTCTTGTTTTACGACATTACAAATCGTAAAAGCTTGGCTTCTTCTCCCACTAGCATAAATGTTAATCTTTGATGCTCTGATTGTTTTAGTTTAATTTAGTGTTCAAATTGAATACCTAGAGTAATCAATTAGTTCTTTAATCTTATATATTTTATTAGGATTTTTTTTTGTGTTACCCCTAACAAAATTTTCTGGTCCGCCCCTAACCACCACACCACTTTAAAAATGAAAAAAGAATAAAATAAAAAATGATTTGTTTCTTCTTTTCTTAACTAAAGTTGAGCAATGTTGAGAGGCCAACGTAGCTTGGTGGTGTTCAATGGGCCATTACGACGTTAATGAGCTCCACCTGGGCCAAGAGGCCCATAGCGACTAGTGTTAATGGATCTTCTTAGCCCATTTAAGAACTTGCTTTAAGAACTTTTCCTAAGCCGACGACTACACTTTTTTATTTTTTATTTTTTCGTTTTCCTAAAACCATAATTATAACCAATATGCTGGCTTTTTTTAGCATATATTGATCAACTTTTTTCAAAACCACAAATCGATTTTAATTGTCCCTTTCATATTATCCTTTTTTTTTTTTTTCAGTTTTTTATATGTCAGTTTTATTTTCTTCATATATATATATATATATATATATATATATATATATATATATATATATATATATATATATATATATATATATATATATATATATATATATATATCAGTTTTTTAATCGATTTTTGAAGCCTAAACCTGCTACAATAGTCGTTTGGGTACTTATTTATTGTTTAGATTCCCATTCGGTAAATCCTCTAAAATACTGTGGTCCCTATTATTAGAAAAAATAATACAAAAATATAAAATTTAATCATTTTATTCATAAAAATAAGATAGGTTCAACTTTTGTTAATTTATAGTACCTATCAAAGTTCTTTTAAATAAAATGTTTATTTCTTTAGTATCTTCTTGAAATAAACATGAAACACCTTAAGCAAACTAGTCCATTAGTTAAGTTTGCAATAAAATTGTAAACTTAGTGGTTTAACTAAAAAAACATAGTTTTAAAATCGAAATTTTATGTAAACTTAATGTTTTTTATACAATTTTTCATTTTACAAAACATCATAAAACTTAGTTATTTTTGTTAAAAACCTCATTTATAATTCTTAGTTTAATTAATATCCTAAAAATTTAGTTAAAAGAAGTAAAGGACAAATTTGTGTATGCATGTGAAACCTATGTGGCATCATAAATCATACAGGTGTATGACATGGCAAAGAGGCAAACATACTCTCTCTTCTCCTTTTTCTCATTCCTTGCCTCTTTGCCTCTTTCTCTCTTCTCCTTTCCTTTTTTGGCATGAAGCACTCCCATTGATTGCAGAACTGCCTTGGAGGGTTTTTGCCATGCCATTTTCATGGATAAACCGTTTGACTTGACTTCCTTTTTTTAGCAGACTACCCCTTTTTTCAATGTTTTAAAAATATCCAGATCAATGTACAAGTTTTACTCCGTAGTGTGCACGTTAGTAAAGCATTGACATTTTGGTTAATGAGAAAGATTTACCACCTTCGATCATCTTCCCTTTTATATTCGCTCTGAACATTGTGTTAAAGATGGTTTGATTGAAGCTCGTATCAGTGGATATTTGGTAGAGAAATTGATTAATTATCGATCGTTCAGCAATGTGTTGATCACTTCATGAATGTTCTTTTTGATATATATGGTTGGTGCTAATTGAATCGAATTGGAGTTATAGGGTTTGAAGAGACGTTTACAGCTTATGTAGTGGGAGATAAAAGGAAGGATGCGAAGAACAACATGTGTCACTTTGAGTAGAAAAAGCTCAAGAGTCATTTAAACTTTTGCAGGCATCATCGACGACATATTGAAGCTTCCATTGGTTCTCATGGCGATGAAAATCCTGAAGATGATCTCAATTGGATTCCTCCTCATGAATCCTGCCATCGTAAGTTTCCTGCATCATTATCACATCAAAGAATTAGAAATCAATTCTCAACTTATAATTAAAATTTGAAGTAGAAGATGAATTTGAAACAGTTTTATTGAATTTATGATGTAATAGGGTGTGAAGGGATATTCTATGAGTTAACGATTGAAGCTACGAAGATGGCTGATTATATTTGTTTGAGAGTCAGGAAACTTGTTCATCTTCACTTTACTCCTGGTTTCCGAAGATTCTTATGGTGTTTGTTTCGTAATTTCAAAGATGATCAAGAAGCACTCCTATGTAAGGGATGGATCCTAATCCAATTTATGATTATGAAAGTTATCGCCCTCAGGAAGATTCTCAAGAAATATAACAAAGTAAGCCCATATCATTTTGGAAAACCAAACATGTTGTTTCTTCTTCTTGAATCTTGATTACATATATTATATGTATCTGTATCTATCTATCACAACAGGTGCATGAATCTGCAAGTGGTATGAACTTTAAGTCCAAATTACAGGCAAAACACTTGGATGTGATGCAATCACCATCACAACAAGAATTCAGAATATTAGGGACGACGCTTTTTGGGACGACACAAGCAATAGCGGCGACACTGGACTTGACGCGCTATATGTCGCCTCTAAAACCCCACTGTCGTCGCTATTAGCAGCGTCGCTAAAGATAACCACCGCTGATCCGTCGGAGATACGCTACTTTCAATCGTGACCCTTGGTTTGGCAAATAATCCAACGGATAGGGTTTCTTCCTGTGATAAGGCATTAGAGACGACACCTTTAGCGGCGACATGTCGCCGCTAAAGGGGGCGATCCGTTGACGCACCCTGAAACGAAATCTGACCCTACAATTCCAACCGAATCCAACGATTGGTAATCGCCAAAAAGTGTGCGTATGATTTCCTCCATTTTGTCGCCGCAAATAGCCACATGTCGCCGCTATTAGCGTCGCCGCTAATAGCTTAGCCCTTTATGTTCCAGTTCGTCTTCCCAGACGAACGTTCCTCTCCTTTCTTTCACACCACCGGCGTTTGCAGTTTCTGTGGCGACTCCCAACGCTCTCCACCGTTGATTGGGCTACAAACCTTTCTCCCACCGCTGATTGTCCTCCAAAACCGAGTCCCACTGGCGGTATAACTCCAAAGTGATTGTCCTCCAATTCCGACGGGAGCTTCGATTTCGTGCTCATATCTCCAACGAGGTTAGTTTTCGTGCTCATATCTCCGGCGATTGTCCTCCAATTAACACCACCGATTCTTATTTGAAGTGATTTGTTTTTGTTTTTTTTTTTTCGTTCCAGCAGCTTCACCACCTTCACCACTGTTTAGCTTTCATTTTGCTGGCAAAGACAGGTTAATTTGATTAGTTTAAATTGATGGAAACTGCAAAATTATTTATTTTGAAGCTGTGCTGTGAAATGGTTTATGAACCTGAAACTGTGAATTTGATTATTTTGATTTCTTTGGATTGATATAAACTGGAAACTGTGAAATTGTTTTTTTTTTTTTTAATTGGTTGAATGTGTGTTTCAGTTGATTAATTTGATATGTTTTGTATGAATTGAGTAGTTTATATATATTCACTTGTTGATCATGTATGAGTTGATAAATTTATATGTGAAATTGATATATATATATATATATATATATATATATATATATATATATATATATATATATATATATATATTTGTGAAACTATTGTATGTTCATCATGAATTTGTATGTAAAATTTAAGAATATTCATATGATTATTAGAAATATATTTTATTCTATATTAAAAGAATAAAATGAATACATCATAATAGATAATTTTTTCTATAAGTTAATGAAGAAACATTCGTAAAAAATGTTCTTAAAAGAAAAAAAAACCATAATAAACTAATTAAATAAATAATAAATATATAATATCATTTAAAGTAAAATTTAATAATAAAAAAATTAAAAATTAAAACGCATGCTAAATCTACTAAGTTATAGTTAATCAAAATAAAAGACTAAAAACAAAAATAAGTTGATAAATCAAAATTGGTCAAAAAAGTTTTAAAAAGAAAAAGAAGAAGAATAATAATAAACCATAATAAACTAATTAAATAAATAATAAATATATAATATCATTTAAAGTAAAATTTAACAATAAAAAAATTAAAAATCAAAACGATACGCTAAATCTACTAAGTTACAATTAATCAAGATAGAAGACTAAAAACAAAAATAAGTTGATAAATCAAAATTGGTCAAAAAGGTTTTAAAAAGAAAAAGAAGAAGAATAATAATAAACCATAATAAACTAATTAAATAAATAATAAATATATAATATCATTTAAAGTAAAATTTAATAATAAAAAAAATTAAAAGTTAAAATGCTATGTTAAATCTAGTAAGTTATAATTAATCAAAATAGAAAAATAAAAACTAAATAAGTTGATAAATCAAAATTGGTCAAAAAGGTTTTAAAAAGAAAAAGAAGAAGAATAATAATAAATCATAATAAACTAATTAAATAAATAACAAATATATAATATCATTTAAAGTAAAATTTAATAATAAAAAAATTAAAAGTTAAAACGCTACACTAAATCTACTAAGTTGTAATTAATCAAAATAGAAAAATAAAAACAAAAATAAGTTGACAAATCAAAATATGAAAAAAAAAAAAACGATGATATAAATAACAAATATATATACTATCGTTTAAAGTATCATGCTATAATAAAAAAATAATTTAAGAAATATTCGTTTGTTATAAATATTCAATCCAAGTTTTACTTCTTGTAGAGTAAACACTAAAACCTAACTTATGTCTCAGTTGCAACATGTCAATTGATAAAACGTGGACTACTATTGAAAACCGTAACTCTACCTTGTTCCAACAAGGACTTGAATCTTTTCTCGAGAGGTCCAAACCACATGTCGATAACAAAGGTCAAATTAGATGCCCGTGTAACAAATGCAATGTCAATAAATTTATACTACTAGCCATAATGAAATTCCATATACTTCAACATGGTTTTAGTCCACATTATATTATATGGAAGTATCACGGTGAAAATACAACTCACCCGGTTGTCGAAGACATACCGCGTAGTAACGAGATGGCCGATGTTATTGATGATGTTATGGGAGGTGTGATTGAAAATGATACCGCCTGCAACGAAGGGAACCTAGATACAGACGGTAGAGGTGTTGATGTTGGATTTCAAAAGCTGTTAGAGGAAGTCCAATTCAAATTATATCCTGGATGTTCGTTTTCGTCCCTTGACTTTTTAGCAAAGCTGATGCATATCAAGGTGATCGACAAATGGACTGATAGTTCATTCGATCAGCTTCTTGAGTTGTTTCAAACTGCATTTCCTGAAGGAAACAGGGTCCCCCCGTCACATTACGAAGCAAAAAAGACACTTAAAAAGATCGGCTTAGGTTATGAGTCAATACACGTATGTAAGAATGACTGCTTTCTTTTCTGGAAAGAGCACGAGTTGTTGCAAAAATGTCCAGTTTGTAATGAGAGTCGGTGGGTTGATGAAAATACAAAGGGTAAGAAGGTGGCTCATAAGGTTTTACGATACTTTCCTGTGACCCCCAGACTACAACGTTTAACTGTTCAAGACACACAGCTAAAGATATGATTTGGCATAGTACCGGACAATCCAAAGATGGTACGATGATTCATCCCGTTGATGGTACTTCATGGAAAAAATTTGATATGAAGTATCCTGACTTCTCGAGGGAACCCCGAAACGTACGCTTAGGGCTTGCTGCTGATGGTTTTAATCCGTTTGGTAACATGTGTAATCCTCACAGCACGTAGCCTGTCATACTCACCACTTACAATCTTCCACCATGGCTATACATGAAAGAGTCATCTTTCATGTTGACCTTGTTGATTCCCGGCCCCAAAGCACCCGGGAAGGACTTGGATGTGTTCCTTAGGCCGTTGGTGGATGAGTTGAAGCAATTATGGAGTTTTGGAGTACGTACTAAAGATGCAGCGAAAAATACATTCTTCAATTTGAAAGCGATGTTGTTATGGACAATAAACGACTTTCCTGCTTGTAGTAGTTTATCCGGTTGGAGCGGACAAGGGTATAAAGCTTGTCCGACTTGCAACGAAGACACCCCGTCATACCGAGTATCAAATAAAGTCGTATATATTGGTCATCGCCGGTTCTTAGATGCTGACCATCCATGGAGAAAAAGTTTGGACTATAATGGAAAACATGAGACAAGAGGTCCTCCAAGAAAGTTTAGTGAGGAAGAAATACAAGCGCAACACGCTCGTCTATTGTTTCGTCCACCGGGTAAAGTAGCTGCTCAACGAGCTCGTATTAAGAGAGATCGTGAGGATTTCGAGTTGAATTGGTCCAAAAAGAGCATATTCTTTGAACTTGAGTATTGGTCTTCTCTGGAGCTGAAGCACAACTTCGATCTTATGCATGTTGAAAAAAATGTGGGTGAGAGTCTTGTGGGTACTTCTCTGATGAATGATAAGTCTAAAGACACATCAAATGCTCGGGCGGACTTGACAAAACTGAACATTCGAAAAAATCTATGGTTGAAAAAGAATGGAAACAAGTTCCATAAACCCCATCCACCTTACTCGTTCACGAAAGCTGACCGCATTCGTTTTTGTAAGTTTATAAGAAATGTGAAACTGCCAGATGGGTTTGGATATAACATCGGTAAGAAAGTGAATGAAACCAATACTAACATTATTGGGTTGAAATCTCATGATTATCACATTCTTATGCAACGTTTGTTACCCATTGGAGTTAAAGGTCTTTTGGGGAAAGGTGTTTATACACCAATAATAAAGCTTTGTATGTTTTTTAAGCAACTTTGCTCAAGAACATTGTCGGTGAAGGATATGAAAGAAGCGAAACCAGCCATTATTAAAATATTGTGCAAATTAGAAGTGATCTATCCTCCTACGTTTTTTGACATTATGGTTCATTTAGTTTTGCATTTACCTGATGAAGCAATTTCTGGAGGCCCAGTATGTATGAGATGGATGCATCCCTTTGAAAGGTATATGAAAAAACTAAAAAACTATGTCAGAAACAAGGCGAGCCCGGAAGGTTCTATAGCTGAGGGTTATGTCGCTGAAGAGGCATTATCATTTTGTTCGATGTACCTTGAAGATGTTGAGACTCGATTCAATCGCCTTGAAAGAAACGAGGATGTTATCATAGAAGAAACAAAGCTATGGGTGTTTCAGTCTAAGTGTCAACCAACTAGCGGAAGGAAAATGAAAAATCTCAGTCTAGAGGAGAGAAAACGTCTACATTGGTTTGTGCTTGATAATTGTGAGGAAGTCAGAAAGTATATTGCGTAAGTGTTCTTATCTTTTAATTCATTTTCTTTTTTTAATTTCGCATTTTTACTATATATATATATATATATATATATATATATATATATATATATATATATATGTTTTCATCAATGTAGTGAATTCAAATCATTACATCCTGAAAGTGATGAAAAAATCGAATTTCCTAAATGGTTCCTTCATAAGGTCTATGATGTGCAAAAACAAAAATCTCTAGAGTTTAATAAGGAGTTATCAGCTCTTTCAATCGGTGTGCATGCGCATGCCTTGGTGGTTGTCGAGGCCAACACAAATAATAACCCTAAGTATTACACACCAAATTAGTGTATAGTGGTAAAGGGATCGAATCCACAGAGATTGGTTCAATTTGATAACTCTATGAAAAATCTCTTTGTAAAAATACTTGTGAAATAACAATAAAAATAAAATGGGGGGTTTTGGTGTTTTGAAATACTTGAAACAAACTAGAGTTAACTATGATTTAAATAGACAATTGCAACAAAAATAAGAATTTGATGTAAAATCAATAAGGGAGAGATGGTTGACTTAAAGTTTCCTCACTTTGACTTTTGATGAACATATCATTAGAATCTAATAGTGCAATACTTTGATTTAAATCCTTAATTTGGTTATAGTAATCCAAGGAGCTTGAGATTACCTAGACTTTTCTTAATTGTTGAAATGGCTAGAGAAGCTCATAACAATTTCCTTAGTCAAAGTCACTAATTCCAAATAGCATGTAATTAGTGAAAGTCAACTAGCATTAAGAACCAAAAAATCACCAAATCCAAGAGGAGTCAATTGCTTTCACCACCATGTTGGAGGAAATGTTTTTATGATTGTGTGAAGCAAAAACAACACAAAAATCACTTGTTGCTTGCTAATTTGAGGATCATTTACTTAATCAAGAAATTAGCCAACTAATCACCACAAACATACTTAAACTCATGAATAAAAACATACTAGTAGTGATAATATGATGAAACACAAAACATTTCCATAAAGATTCAAGAACAAGTTCATAGATTCTTCAACATCTAACAAAAGTTCAAAGGATTCAACAAAAAGTCAACCAAGATTTGTTTAGCCAAGCATGGCTAAACTTAAATGAACAAAGTTAGATAAGATTATACCAAACATTTGACAAGATTCAAGAGGTGAAAAGAAGATGTTCTTCAATTGTTCTTGGCCTCCAAAAGTGCTCCAAACTCCAGAGAGAAAGTCTCAAAATCGGATCTCCAAGATAATGCTAAAGAGGCACACCAACCTTCCCAATATAGAGCTCTAAGCAAAATCCCGAAATTGCCCTTGTCAGGAATCCACGCGGGCCGCGGGGAATCATACGCGGGCTGCGGGTACTAACGGGAATTTTGGGCTTCTTCAAGTCTTGGGCCCCCACAACTAATCCATTGGCCCAGTTCGAGTCCAATCAGCTTCTAGCCCATTTTTCTTCAATGTTTCTTCAATTTGAGCCCAATTTGTCTTTCCACATCACTCAAAACTTCCGCAAACTCCCAAATATTGATCTTGCATACTCAAGAATTCTCCCACATCTTTCAAATTTAAAGCTCAATTCTTCCAAGCCTTCAAGCAATTGACAAGTCCACCCCATGAATCACCTTCATAGCCATCAAGCATGAAATCCCCGTTTCCTTTCAAGCCCAATCGCCTCCCAAGAATGCCGCCCCGCTAGTTTCCAAGAAAATCTGCAATAATGCTCAAGAAACTAGAAAGTACCCCGAAATGGTCATAAAAATAACAAAAGGGAAAATATGCATGGAAGTTAACTAAAATGCGAATGAAATGTACTAAAATAAACTATAAAAAGAAGTAAATAAAATGAAGCTATCATGCCTTTACTTACACCGCTTGCATAGTGAATGGTGTTAGGTATATGGTACTTATGCGTGACGCTCAACGATCAACACAAAACTCGGGGGTTCTAACTGAGGGAGAGCATAAGCAAAAATATTATGGTCAGCTAGAAGAGATTATCGAGTTGCATTATCCTCATAAATATTCCACCGTACTTTTTCGTTGCAAGTGGTTCGATACTGCAGGAGTTAAATCTGATAATAATTTCACCACTATCGACCCACAACGCGAATTGAGCAGCGAAGATCAACTCATATTTGCTACACAGGACAAGCAAGTATTTTACATCCAAGAACCTTCTCCAAGTGATGAAAATGACACCCAACGGTGGGTTGTTGAAAATGTTAATCATAGAAGAATTTGGGATCTACCGATGAATCATGTTGATCATGATCCCATTGAAAATATCGACAATGATTCAACCGATGTCGTTCTTAGTAATGCTTCTTCCAATTTCACTCTCTCAATTGACTTTAGCCAGTACTTTCAAAATTCTCAATCGATTGAAGATGATATTGAAGTCGACCCACCAACGAGTATCATCAATAATGTGTCTAATTGCGAGACTGATTATGGTGAGGAAGATTCTGATTATGATAGTGATGTATCGGCAGACACTGAAGTGTCTGGGGGCGAGAATGATTAAAAAATCTTTTTACATTTAATTAGTAAAATAAGGTTTGTATTTGTTGTAGTCATATTATATATATATATATATATATATATATATATATATATATATATATATATATATATATATTCATATTGTGTTATAATTTTTCAGGATGTCATTTTTTTGGATTGCATTGCTCCATCTCATGGCTGCTGTGATGGGTCATGGAGGCGACGGTGGCGACGAGCCACCACATCCGTTCGGTGGGGGTTTTGGTGATCACCAAAACGATGGTAATTAAAATCTATTCTAATTCATTGTATTTCACATTGTATGTATATAAAAAATTATTCTGACTAATATTTTTTTTATGCAGTGGTGCCTCCGAAACGAAGAGGCATGGCGGTAAATAAAAAAATGCACAAACTCTATAAAGCTAACGGTGAACGGCCTCTTAAGATAGTATTTGACGTAAATACTAACATGCCGATTGGGGAGGTGTATGAATGTTTTATTCGGGAGGTTGGGAGCTTTATGTGGCGGGACATCGGTTTTGATAAAGACACATGGACAGAGGTTTCTGAAGCCGAAAGGGTTGGAATGTTGCAGTATCTTTCGGTAAATTATTTATAAAGTTATATATTTAATATTTTTAATTTTAATTTCTCTATTTTTTTTTGTAGAAATGGTTTGATTTTGACGCGATTACAAATCATCCCATGGCTTCAACTTATTGGGCATCACTGAATAATCGGATATGTGCGCGGTATAGAGGCTGCAAAAATATTGCAAAAAACCGTTTTGATGATTTTGCAGGGAATGTGGAGGCAGCAAGGGCTCAATCCCCTAGGGGTATGGATCAGCAGCGTTGGAATGCTGCTATTGACCATTTCTTAACAGAAAAACATCAAAAACGATCCGCTGGAAACAAAGAATGCCGGAAGAAGCAAGTAGTGAAGAATCGTGGAGGGACGTGCAGCTACGGTAGTGCTTGTTTCAAGAAAGTAAGTTACAATAATGTTTATTCAGTTATAACATATTTTTTAATGTTTATTCAACTATAACATATTTTGTAATGTTAAACAGAATTTGAATAGACTTGAAGTATTTCATCGTGCGCATGTAAATAAAAGAGGGGAATTTGTTGATCCATTGGTTGAAGAGCAATATGTAAGTTATTATTACTTAAAAATGAAGTAGATTGTTAAATTTTTTTTGTTAGTTTTAACGTATATTAACAATCTTTGTGAAATACAGAATGCCTTAGTTGCTGAGGTTGCTCTACAGACTCATCACATAGCCGACTCTGGTGGTGATCCAGACACCAATGATTGGATCGCAATATTTGAGAAGGTGTTGGGTACTCAAAGGGGGCATGTGAGAGGCATTGGGCCTAAAGCTTCTTCAACTGCGGGTACAAATGCTTCATCCCAATGACAACCACAGTCACAAGCATCGCAACCAACACAAGTACTTGTTAAATTCTTAAAAAAATTGGTTGCTTTGTTATATTGTTAAGAACTTAATGTATTTGTAGTAATTTTTGGTAGCTCGGTAGTTTCTTAAATTGTTATAGACTTAATTGATTTGGTGCTTTGATGGTTTGTTGAATTGTTCATAACTTATTTGTTTGTGACTTAATTGTAGGATGTTGATGTGAACGCTTTTCTTCAAAATCCGGCATTTGTGACGGCCATTGGAGACATTATTCGCTCGTTTAAAAACCAAGTCAACGAGGAAGACAGCGATGGGAGGACGGTGGGGAAGACGAAGACAACTAGTATTTCTTGTTTTATGATATGGAGGATGTTATTTTTGATTTGGAAAATAGTTTATGTATGATATATATTAAACGTTTGTTTGAGATTTATTAGATATGGTATGTTTGATGTTTGTTTGGAAAATAGTTAATGAAATATGGTATTTTTGATGTTTTTATATAATGTCGTATGTATTTATATATGTATTTTTATCAAAACAGCATTTTATAATATATATAAATTATTATTATAAAAAATAAGTTTTTCTTAAATTAAAAAAAAAAAAAAAAACATTAGCAGCGACGCCTTTAGAGACGACTACTGTCAATTGTGACGACATGGCCTCCGAAGAGTATCGCCGGAAAAATCCTACTGGTGGCCGGAATATTAATAGGGATGACACTATTTGAGACGACATTAGTGTATTAGAGACGACAATTATTAGCGACGACAGTATTATAGACGACATGGGCTATTAGCTACGAACCAACTGCGGCGACGCATTAGCGACGATATGTCGTCGCTAATAGCATTAGTGACGGCAGAGATGATCAATTGCGACGAATTTCGTCGCCGCTAAAGGTTAGTATTTTTGTAGTGCATGGTTGATTGAATTAGTAGCTTTCTATATGAATCTTAAGGGTTCAAACAGTTTGACTTCTGATGAGCTTTTTGGTCAACTCTCTTATGACCTTAATATCTCCGACGAAAAGTCTTTACTAACTTTGACATTTCTAGGTTCTGAAAAACTGGAGTACAATCTCACCTGTCCTATTTGCTTGGTATGTTTGAAAATAAACATGTTAATTAAATTCAAATTCCAATTATATTTTTTATAAAATTATGGTCAATTGTTGATTCAGGACATTATTTTTCAACCATATTCTTTACGTTGTGGACACATTTTTTGCAAGTCTTGTGTTTGTTTGGCAGCTAGTGTATTGATCATTGAAGGGTTCAAGTGTGCAAATCAAGATTCCAAGTGTCCAGTTTGCCGAGAGGTTAGATAAAGTTGGATGTTATAAATAGCAAAATCTTTTTTTTCTATATGCTTGTTGGGTATATATGATCATATTATTTAACAAAATATTGATAATTGTATGGTTTATATATCTTTGTTATTGTAGAGTGGAGTGTATGCTAAATCAGTTTGCATGTCTGAACTAGGTTTGCTCTTACAACCAAAGTAATCAATATCTTGTATCTCCTTATTACTTTATGATAGATATGTAAAAATGGGATGGATGGATAAAGTGTTTTAGAACGGGGACTATATTATTACTAATAAAGCACTAGCCAAAAATTAGAAGCAAAGAAGGATTACAAAGCATAGGAAGAAAAAGAGGAATATATTAGTGTTTTTGGTTATATTATTTTGTGGTTTGTTATAGGCATTTCCGAAAAATGTTTATTTTGCTTGAGATACAATTTTTTTTAAAAAATGTATAACAATAGATGTATTTGTAGGTAGAGAAAATTGCAAAAATGGTCCTTGTGGTTGGTAAATTTATGTGATTTTGGTCCAAAACGAAATGTAGGTGCATCACTGGTCCAAAATTAGATTTTTCTATTGGTTTTGGTCCCTATACACTTAAAATGACGGTTATGCCCTTATAATGTATATTTTTCATTTTCTTTAATTGTTAAAATACATAAACTAATTTAATTTATATCTTTTTAACTTAAAACAAAAATAATAAAAACAATAACCCATTCCCCACTCTTATCTTAAAGAAGCCCTTCATCACCGGTTCCATCCTCATCATTGATATCTGGAACTAATAACATTATCTGGAACCAACATCCTTCATCACCTGGTTCCATTTGACCCCGATACTTCTAGGGTTTCAGTGGCCTTCTCCCATTTGCAGTTTACTATAAGCAAGCGGTTTCAGATACTAGATCGGAGTCCATTACTCCACAAACATATAGTCTCAAGAACACACACTCACCCAAAATCCACATCGATGCATCAAAGCTATCGTTGGAGCTAGGACCTGCATTTTAGGTCGTTACTGTTTGTTCTATACGATCACCAACCGACTTACCCCCTGTATCCCCCACTTTTTCGTTCCTTGCTTCATCAACCCCTACACTGTTGTCCACAGGTTCTCGTTCTCCTACATCTTATGACCATTAATTGAAACATGGCATCCAATGTCTGATAATGGTGGAGCTTCTCCAAAATTCCTCTCTTTAAAGCTACCTTCGGAGCTTCTCCGTTAACATCATCAACCATCGAAGATTCTTCCAAGTCCCCCTGAACCCGTTTTTTTTTTTTTTTTTTTTTTTTTTTTTTTTTTTTTTTTTAAATTAGGGCTTGCGTCAGATTGTGCTTCTCTTCCTCCACATGGGGCTCCATCTCATCCATCTTCTAAGTTAGTTTTTCGATGCTCTGTTTTGTTTGATTGAACTTCTATGTCGCTTTAAAGCTCATGATCTGCCTCCACGATCATTTTAAAGCTCCTGCTCTGCTTATACCGTCGTTTGAAAGCTCTATGGTGGGCAATGATGGAGGTTCGATAATGGTGAGAAACAGTGGAGATCCGACAACCATCCTGTCACCACCCCTACAAATTAACCCTCCTCACCTTCTTCTCTCATGTTGACCAACCTTAATCTCTTCTTGATTTACCACAAAATTCCATTCAGCACCACCAGACACACCATCACCAAGATCGTGTGATCTGAATCGAAGAAGGTAGGGTGAGAATCAAATCAGAACAAAATATGAGGAAGGGAGGGTCGTGGTTGTTATCGATTGAAGCTAGAACTGGAAGGAGAGTACCTGTGATTGTGAGAGAAGGAGGGGTACATCGATTTGAGATATGAGCTGTGTGATCTAAAAAGTTTGCTGATGATTAACTGTTGAAGATAACGAGGAGTTTTTTGTTTATCATAAAATGGAAATCGTTGATAATTTTTTTTGTTTTTCTGATGAACACCTTGAAGAACACTGAAGAACACAGATGATTTTTTTGGGTGAATGTTTGATCTAAAATGTTTAGTTCTGTGTGTGAGAGAGAGATTCGTGGGTTGATATATATTTTTTGTTTTGTTTTAATTAAAGGAATTAGAATTCAATTAAAACAAATAGAAAAAAAATAATTTTAAGGGCATATTAGTCATTTTAGGTGAATGTTTGATCTAAAATGTTTAGTTCTGTGTGTGAGAGAGAGATTCGTGGGTTGATATATATTTTTTGTTTTGTTTTAATTAAAGGAATTAGAATTCAATTAAAACAAATAGAAAAAAAATAATTTTAAGGGCATATTAGTCATTTTAGGTTGGGTATAGAGACCAAAGTCACACGAAAATGCTAACTATAAGGACCAAAATCGCACAGATTATCCAAAATTGGACCACCGATACACCATCAAACTTTTTTGGACCAAAACCACATAATTTTGACAAACACAGGGATCATTTTTGCAATTTTGTCTTGTAGGTATAAAGATGGATTTAAGAAGAGTCGAATGGAAGAACGAGAAAAAATATTGATTCAAACTAAAGAATATTGGGAGTTGCAAACAAGTTATGTGATGGGATTATGACATTTGAAGTGTTGGAATTGTTGGTTCTTTTTGCAAGATTTATTCTGTATTCAAAATCTATACTAATAAATAAGGATTTTTAGCTGCCACATGTCACATTTTTAGGCCTCTTGTCACATATAATATTCTGACTTTTTTTATTTAAATTAATTCCACGTGTAATTTTATGATTTTTTTGATTTATATAAAAAAAATATAATTAATGCCTTAAATGTATTGACCGATCAGTGTTTTCCTTCCTCCTTGAGGTTGAGGGTTTAAGTCATGTCGTGGACATAAGTGAATTTAATGAGTAGTTTAGGAGTAGGGTAGATTTGCCGTTTAAAAAAAAAAAAAAAAAAAAAACCTAGGTTATAATCCGTGGAAACCACGATCGGTATATTTAAAAATTTTATATAGATAAAAAAATAATAAATATAAAAAAAAATCAAGATATTGTCAATTGTAAGTAATTATAAAGTAATTGGTTAAGCAAAATAAACATAATAATGTTATTAGGATATGATTTTCTATTTTCAAAATTTGAATTTAATTTGATTTGTTACAAAAAAAGAAATAATAAAAATTATAGAAAAATAACACGTGTCAAAAAGACATTCTAAAAAATTGACACGTGTCATTTCTAGGTTTTATTTATTAGAAGATGTCCCTAAACCCTAAACAGATCTGATAGTCTTTCCTTATATCACGACATACTATTGTAACAGTATGTATCTTTATTATTTTTGCAAAGATTTACCCCAACAATTGTATTAAATTGGGATTCAATGTTAAATCCCCGCAAAATCAGCAAAATTTCATAGAAAATTGAAGTTTTGCTAAACTTATAGGGTACAATTAAGCCAATGATTGGAAAACACGCGGAATATATCAATAATTTAGGAAATAGAATGGATTCCGTAAACAAAATTGCCTTTAAATATGTTTGCTATAATGCGTCGTAGTGTCAGAATTTCGCATCTGTAAGTCGGACTATATCGCTATTTTCCTTCAAGTCTCTCTGCAAACATGTGTGTGTGTTTTTACTTTGTTCCTCTTATACATTAATGAAAAAACTAAGTTTACATTATGTGTCGATCGAATACTTCATTTGGATGTTTAATTATATGTGTTTGCTAAAATGTCCATATTTTGTACTCTATGTGTTTGCTAAAATGCTCTAGACAAAAAAATTCCTATGATTCATTAAGCTTCATGTATAATTGTTTCCAACCAAATGCCCCTTAATTTCTATATCTTTTACAGAAAAAGCAAAAAAGAAAGAAAGAAAAAAAAAAACTATGCAATATAGTTTATTTGGCCTGTTTAATATCAGATATTTTGATGATGAAAACTGCACGTGATTAACTAAAATGTTAGCAGAATATATTGATAACATTGAAATAGAAGACACCATACATTTTAGCATACAAAGAAGAGCAACAACTTTTCCGTTCACCATTATGTATGTAACTCATTATAGTAGAAAACAAAAGTAACCATGGCTGCAATCGAATCTTCCTTTGTACATTTTGGTGTACAATCCACAAATTGGATGAAAATAATCATGATTTATATTTAATAAATCTTATAAAATAATCATGACTTCAATTTTATGTGAGTTGTGCTTACAAAATTTATGGCTTCAAAAATCTTTCGTACTACTTAGTGAACTTGATTTGTCGCATGAAAAGTTCACTTTGAAAGTTAAAGCCAGGTGCTTGTGTAAGCAACTCAAAAAGAGAACTTTAATATTGATATGATATTAGAGGTATTTATGCAATTTATTAATTCTTTATATAGTTTTTTATTTATAAGTTTTATTAATTTTTTTGTTATATTACAAGATTTGTTATATAATATAATTCACTAGTTGGACTTTTTCCTAAAAAATTAGGTTGCCAGATTTTCTAAATGATGTATTTTGCTTTATTAGATATTATGCATATATCATAACTCCTATTATTGGTAAATGTTTCGCATATTTTAAATAGTTTAAATAAGCATTATTTAATATCGTATTGATCCGATAATTACTCTGAATGTTATTATAACACAATTAAATAATAATTAAAAAAAAAAAAAAAAAAAAAAAAAAAAAAAAAAAAAACATCTTCAAGTGAAAATCGGGCTTATCTCGGGCCTATCTCCTAGTTAATATGATCTATCAACGATTAAATAAGTCATTCATAATTTCATATACATATTTTGTGCGCCATGACGCCATCTACTTTTCTCCAGGGGTTCTAACCTTGATCGTTATGAAACAAATGATATTTTCTATAATCTTTTGTCTTATAATTATAATATTGCAAAGTATCTATTTAGTTGCCCATTAGGTCGTATTAGTTATTGGAATTTTACAAAATGTCCTTTTCCCACATCATAGCATTAGAATATGGCGTCTTCAAGTACTACAAAGTAAAAACCAAGAAAATGACAAATAAAAGCCGGAAAAGAAAATATCGAGATAACAATCTCATTGTATACTTTATATATGTAGATATTTCCAAGAAGTCTAATTTATTATAAATAAGGTTTTTTACATATTTATAAATCAAAATCAAGAACAAAGATAACATATTTCCATACACGAACCTTAACACAAGCAATGGCCACTTTCACTCACAT